CCACATACAGTATACGACATGTGGGACGGCTATGTTCATCAGCCAGCCAGCAACATTAGCATCAGCAACATTAGGCATCAGCAACATTAGCATCAGCAACATTATTGTGCAGCAGCAGCAGCCTTTGCACTTGCAGGTCATTATTTGCATTTTGTACTTGAAGAACAGCTTAATTATGATACAGAAATCTATGGAGCGTCCTTCCCGCCCACATCCCCGCTAGCTGCTAGCTTTGTGTGTGTGTATCTGTATGAGTGGGTGTGAGTTGTGACCGCCCACATTTATATAAGCGAAAATATAGAGCTCCTTGAACTGTTTGTGCTGACCCCCTCCTAGACTTTGGAGCCCACCGCCCCCCGCCCCAGACACTATTCTGCCACATAACTAAATGCAATGAAAATTGTTGCACAGCCTCGTGAATGCGAACGCCTTCAAACGCCCAACCCAGTGCGCGACCTGCACGTACATACGTAGTTGTTGTTCTTGTTGTTGCTGTTGTTATTGTAAAATTTGTGTAGCCTCCAATATTATTTTAGTCGACAGCGCATGTGAGTGCGAGTGTGTGTGTGTGTGTGTGTGTGTAGCTCTGTCTCTGTGTAGCGCTGGCATTTTAATGTATTTGTAATTGACCTGAATAAAGTTCAAAACACTCGCAGAGGCAGCGACAAGGCGAAATACACAAATATACATGCATATCTACATACGAACGTACATACATATGTATATATACATATGTCTAAATGTCTGTTTGTATGTATGTGTGTGTGTGTGTCTAGCTGCTGTCGTTCTTATTGCTGCTGCTGCTGCTGTTGTTGTTGCTGTGTAGCCTCAAAATAATAATGATTGCGACAACAATAACAACAACAGCAACAAACAGTAGCAACACTCAACGTGTTGTTGCTGCGACTGCATTCATACATACATAGCTACTGTTGTTGTTGTTGTTTTTGCTGCTGCTGCTTATAAATTTGTACATTTTGCCTCCGATAATTGACAATTGTTTGATTATTTTATGTGCGCCGCTGCTTTTGGGACAACAGCGAACAGCCAACAACTAATTGCTGCTGCTTCTAGTTTCTGTTAGCATTGTTGTTGTGGCACACAATGATTGCAACGTGCAGCGTTTGTAGAATGTGTTCACTTTTCGATTGTGGGTTGCCATTTCGATTGTAATAATTGAAACATGCAATTTGACATTGATAGAAACAGAAAGGGCGTAATCGATCTATAACTCAGTTGTGTGGAGTCTTATAATGGAGAATTTTCATTCCAATTCATTCTTGTACTCTATTTTTGACAAATAGGGATTTCAAATTTGAAATACATTTCAAATATTCTAATTAATTAACAATAATATGCAAAAGAAATACATTTAAAAAATATATCAGCTTATTCGCATAGCCTTCAATATTTATTTTTAGCTTTGGAGAATGAAGCTCCAAAATAAATACCACATTCATATTTAAAGAACAACACTTAATGCTTAAATAAATACTTGAGAAGTGACCTCGCCTAGCTGGCGCTAGGTGCTAGGCGCTTTGCCCAGCGCCAAATGTGGTGCCTGGTGCTGCCTTTTTATTTGATATTTATGTGCATGGCAGCTAACAAGAAATTTGCAGCTTACATCCACATCTACAGACACACAGAAATACTGAAATACAGAAATACAGACATACGTACATGCACACATGTGCTTGCATTTGCATGCATTTACTTTCAATTTGCTTAGCCTCGCGCTAATTTAAGTTCATTTCAATTAAAATAAACAACAAACAACTACATAAACAACAGCAGCGCCAGCGCGATATGAAAATATCGCACAACATGCAAATGCTAAATCAAAAAGCAACAAATATTAAAATGTTCTACATCAATTTAAACAATTCCAAAAATCACATTTAAAAGTGTAGCGCGTTCCACGCTGCGTATGACTGATAAATTTCTCAAATGCACAGATATATTTGTAGATATTTATACATATGTACATATGTATGTACATATGTCTAATGTGCAGTACTTATTGTACTTTAAAGATTTGGTTCGTTTTGATTTCGTTTGCTTCGTTTTGCACTTGCATTTCGTACGGAGTCCAATTTTGTTTACTATCAGTGAGGCGTGCACGCACACTCATTTACCCATTCACTTACTCTCTCGCTCGCACACTCATTCAATCACTCTCTCTCTCTCACATACGCACGCATGCACGCACCGATGTTCCACCTTCACTGTCAGGCAAGCGCCATGATTGTCGTTGTCGTCGTCGCCCTCGCTATCACCTTAAAACTAAATGCCTGACGGCCCCGTCCCTGCGCCGTCTCTGATGGACTCGCTGGCTGACCCAGTTTTCGCCGCACGTCAGTCGCGGCGGTCAATGAACTGAGCAATGAACGAGAGAGCTGGCGAGGTTGAAGCGACGCAACCAACGATGGGCGGGCGCATTTTTAAGAGGGGGGACCAAGTGTGGGGAGTACGGGAGATTGCCTCGTTTGCTGGCTCGTGTTTGTTTGTTGCCTTTTTTTCTATCATACAAACATACATACATGCATACATTTATTTTTGGGGGCGCTCTATGCAAGACTCTAGTGTATGGTTGTATGTTTGTGTGTTTGCGCTAAATTTCAGTTTCGTTTTCATTTGACGTTTGCTGTGCGCTCTTTTTTTTCAAATGTCTTGCGTTATTTAGGTGTATTTGTAATAGCAAACAACAAGAGACAAACACACACTCACATAGATGTAAGGCAATAGTGTGAATTGTGGCAGCAAAATGGCGCCTTTTACTGTAGAGACTGCCAAAAGAAATTATGAAAGCGAAAAAAGAAAGTGTTTCGAAATCAAAACGCAATAGCAACAACAAACAAATTGTTATTATATGTATGTTGTCTCAATTTTGATTTTTGTCTTTTTTTTTTATTGTGTCGCTTGTCGCCAAGAAAGTGAAAGTAGTTTGTGTATACGCTTGGTATTTCTTTTCGGGCTATGTTTAAACAATCACAGCCTTGCGTTTGCATATTGAAAAGCAAAATAAAGCAACAGCAACAAAAAATTATAAATATTGCGGCTGCATTTTTCTAGGTCAACGGCAATGTTGGTGCTGCTTGGTTTTATAACTGTAAATTTTTTTGAAGCAAGGCAACCCCTCGACATCATCGTTAACGTCAACATCAACGTCGACGTGAACGTCAGCGTCAGCGTCAGCGTCGAGGCTGCCGACGTCTCTGGCCTTTTTGCATGAAATTAATTCTCCTTGAAAGATAAGGCAATGGCATGGCGTCTGCGTCGCAGTCGGAGTCGCCGCCGCAGCTAACTGCGCGCGCAACATTAAAATAGCACACGGTCATTTTTATTATAAACAATTCGAAATTTTGTGCGAGCTCGCCGTCGTCATCGTCGCCATTATTGTTGTTGCTAGCTGTGTTTTTGGGTTTTCATGGCGCTTTTTTCCTTCTTCTTTTTTTGGGGTCAGGCATTTTGTTTTGTTGGCAGGCTAACTTATTTTTGGCATAAACTATGCAAAGAACTAGTTCAAGGATGCAGAGCAGTTGGCTGCTATTGACTGAAATGATGCGCAAGGCACTTAAAGTTTGAATCAAAGGTTTTCTAGTTCTTTATCATGAAATTGAATGTGTACATAAGTACATGTGTATGTACACATACATATGCATGTATGTATATGTGCGTACATATTTGGAAACTTAAAATCTAATCCATCAATTACAAAACAACACGCAGGCCAGCAAGAAACAATAGCAATACCAAAATATTACGCATACGCAATGTCTGCTGGCAGGCATACAAAACAAGCCCAACACACTACAACACGCTACAACAACAGCAGACAAATAACCGTTTCTTCGTCTTTCTCCATGCAAACTCACTCACGCGCTCTCACTCACACACTCCAACTACAGCTTGTCTCTTCTTCTTTTTCTTCTTGTATGCGCCACTTTCGTTTTCACTGCAGCAGCGACAGCAACAGCAACAACAAGACCCAAAGCAGGAAGAAGCAGCAGAAGTCAATGAACGACGTCAACTTTGCTTTATTACAGCAGCGAGCACCAGAGCTGCCAAAAAAGAGAGTGCAGCCATACATGTGAGAGTATGGGGTATTGCTGTTGTTGTTGTTGGTGTTGCTGTTTTTGCTGCTGCTTTCATAATCAACGACAATGCGCGACAGCATTTCCTGCGCTTAATTTAAACAAATTATTACAAAATTTAATAATAGCAAATGGAGCAGAGCACCAAAAAGAGCGCAAAACAGCAAGATAGAGAGCGTGCCTGTATATTTACGAGTATATAGCACACAGGCTGACTGACTCACTGGCTGGCTGGCTGACTGACTGACTGACTGACTGGCCTCGTCGCTTGCTCGGCTGCTGCTGGCTGCTTTAAAATTTGGGTTAAGTGCGTTCATTCAACTTTTAACACCATTTCGTAAGCAATCGCTGGCTTTTGTTGCTGTTGTTGTTGAAGCTGCTCCCATTTATCATGCGGGTGTTGTTGAAGAATTTGTTTAAACAAGCAAAACAATCAAATAAAATGAAAAAAGCATAACAAAATTGTTTTTGCTTTTGTTTTTTTTAATTTTCCTTTGCTTTTTCGGCTCCCAACAGCAACAACTTTTACTTTGCCGTGAAATCGCGCGCGGTTATAGTTTGTTGCAACACACATACACACACTCACACAATGTTAAATTTTGTTCATGGCTGGTCAATGAACTCATAGCTCGCTACGTTCGTTTGATTCGTTCGGCTCGTTTGTCTGATTCGTTCGTTTCGTTTCGTTGCTTTTCGTTTTGCTTCGTGTTTCTAATGGCGTCTGTGTGTGCATGTATGTGTGTGTGTGTGTCTGCGTATGTGGGGGGTTCGTTTATGACTCTGACTGATTGTTAATAATTTGGCTACACACACTACACACATTCCCCAACTATTTTGCATAGCTTGGAGTGAGTGCACTCACTATAGAGAGTAATTGAGAGAAAATAAAAGGCGGTCGGTACTCACCATCGCGACTCATGCCAACGGCAATACATTTTTTCAGGCGACAATATTGGCAACGATTGCGATTGATGCGCAAAATGCTGCACTGCTGGTTCTTGGTGCATGGGCGATATTGGATCTTCTGCTGAATGGAGCGTCGGAAGAAGCCCTGTAATTAAAGAAAGTAAATACAATTATTAATAAAAGTAATTTGCATTTATAGCTTAATGTTATTTATGCGATTATTTCATATTAAAGTGCTAGGGGTTTTTTAGAAAGATTCTATTTTCATCATCATGTCATTAATTCAAAATAAATTGAGTAAAGAAATTACTAAAAGCAGTTTGGAAACAGTAAGAGTGTTTTTATTTGGACACCTACATCACTCTTCTCATTGACATCTTCAGCGGCTTTATTGTTGCCACTGCCACTGCTGTTGTTGTTGCTGAGCGCCGTTTCCAGATTCTCATCAAACTTCTGACACAGGTAGTTCAAGGTGGATGCCTCCAAGCGCTGGTGATGCTGCTCGCACAGCTCATCATCGCAGCCCGAATCCTGGGCATCCATATCCTCCAGCTGATGATGCTGATGGTGTGGCTGACAATCGCAGATGGCGGCAGCAACTTCTTCGTCGCTGCTGCTGTTGTTGTTGCAGGTGCAGCTGCCGACGGCATTTGACAACGATTGTGTGCTCGAGTTGCTCAGCAGGGAGCAATTGCTGTCTGAGCTGTCACGCCTCTGTTGTTGTTGCTGTTGTTGCTGCTGCTGCGTTTGTTGCATCAACAAATTGGCAATCTCCTTGTGGGTTTGCGCCGAGAACGGACTATCACAATGCAATTGACTGTGCAGGTGTTGCTGTGCCTGATGCATCTTGTTGCTGGTGGGTGCAACAGTTGCTGTTGCTTCTGCTGCCGTGGCCTTGTCTTCTGATTGCTGCTGCTGCTGCTGTGGTTGCTCCACAGTTGTCTGTTGTTGTTGCTGCTCTAGCTCGCGCTGCTTTAGCTCACGGGCATAGCGTATTTTCTTCCAGGGACACTGATATTGCTCATAGCCCTCACCAGCTGTTGATGTGGTTGACTTGTTATCAGCGGCAGCAACTGTTGCTGATGCTGCATCTGTTACTGCTGCTTTGGGAGGCATGTCATCGTCGCTGTTGGCACAGTCCTCATCGATGCCTGACTCGCTGTCATTTTTGGCGCTTAGATCAACGCATGGCTTTGGTGGCTGCTGTTGTTGTTGTTGTTTCTGTTCCTGCTGCTGCTGCTGCTGCGTGAGCAGCACGACTATTTGTTGATGCTGCTGCTGCTGCTGACTAATACTATTTGTCTGGTTACTGTTACTGTTATTGGTGGTGGTTGTCTTTACTAATGTTGCAGGTGTTGTTTGTACGAGCAGTTGAGGCAGCAGAGCGCCTGTCGGCTGCGGTGTCGACGTTGGTGGCGGTGGCGGCGCTGTTGCTGCATCATTTTTCAGTCTTTTGCGTTGTTGCGGCGGCAGTTGATGCTGCTGCTGATGATGTTGCTGCTGCAGGTAAACAATTTGTCTGGCTTGCGGTGCCGCCGCTGTCTTTGTTTGCTGTTTGCTAAGCGGCGCTGATTCCAGCAGCTTGACCAGCGCCGAATGTTGTTGCTTTAGCTGTTGGCTCTTCACTTGCTGCTGCTGCTGCTGTTGTTGTTGATGTTGCTGTTGCTGCGCAGCTGCAGTGGCCACAATATGCACATTGTTAGCGCCGGCGGGTGTTAGCAGCACAATCGTTGTAGTCTGCTGCTGTTGTTGCTGCTGAAAATGTTGCTGTTGCTGCTGCTGCGGCTGATGTTGTTGCTGTTGCTGGACCGCGGCCATTTCTTGCATTGCACAAACCATAATTTACGATTAATTTTTTATGAATTTTTTTGGTTTTAGAATGACACTTGAACTATGTTGTTGTTGTGGTTGTTGCTGCTGATGCTGCTGCTGCTGCTTACTACAATTTGCTAATAAGGAACATTTCTTTGCTTTGATTTCAATTTGTTTCACTTCATTTGAATAATATCGGAAATACTTGTGTTGCGCCTTAGTGGCAAACTTTATTCTTGTTATATTTCTTCTGTGTTGGAATTTGAGCGCCAAAAGCGCCTGAGGCACAAGAGAACTGAACTCTCTTCTTTTCAGATTATTCGTATGCGATCTTGACGATGTCTTTGTTAAATCACTTGATTGGCTTCTTCACTCACAAAAATAATAAATATAGTAATAATTTGTATACTTTTTATATTTATGGTATTTTATAATGGGTGTATTGTTTAGTTTAGCGTATTCTGCTTTTTATTTCGCGCGCTTTTCTTGCTCTGCACAACCGCTGCCTACGACGAGCAATTTGCGAATGAAAGCAGCGTCGCTCCACAATGTGTGGAGTAGCCGACGAAAACGATGACGACGTTGGCGCTCGAGGGAGCCCGCTCTCTCGCTCACCTCTCTCTGTTTGCTCTCTCATATGGTGCATAAGTCTGTGGTGCAGTGGTCGGGTTGCTCGTTGCGTGGCGCTGCCAACCTCGCGCTACATTTTGTTTTTATTTTTGTTGTGAGTAGTTTTTTGTGTGCCAACTGAGGACATTCACTCCGTCGCTGACGCTAGCGTCGCAGTTGCGTTGCGACGTTGGCAGCTAACAATAGAGGAGCTACGCAAATGCATTTGGCGCTGAAGTTTTTGTTGCTGTTGCTATTTATTTAGTGTGGGGGCGCCTCGTATTTCTGCCCCTTCTGGTGCTGGTGGTGCTGGTGCTACCTTTTGTTGTCAACAATTCTTGGAACGCCTACAGATTTCAGGTAGCTGCCACCTGACTGATCAGCTTTGTTTGATAACACAGAAAGCAACAACAATGCGTACAATATATAGAAAAAGAGCAACAAATTACAGACAGTGCAGCGCGTGGGAGGAGGAGGATCTGTTGTTGTTGCTGCTGCTGTTGCTGCTGCGGCTTGACAGGTAGTCGATTGTTCCACTTGGGTATATTGTGTGTGTTGATAAATGAGTGACAAATAAGATTAATTGATATTGAGTGGGCACAACAGGCGGCCCAGAAATGGTAGTGAGGGTGTTTGGTGAGTGCGGATCAACGAATATGACAGCCATAAGTGGACTTACATATGTACATAGATTTGGAGCGATGTTTTTTTTATTAGATGGATGATAGCACTTTCTTTTTGGGTCGTAAAAACTATTTTAATGCAGCCACTAGAAATGATAATAATACGCACTGCTTTAAAAATGCAAGACAAGGCAAGCAGTGTTATCAATGCTTTATGGTTAGCGATTGGAAAAGGATATAAATAGCTAAGTAAATCATATTGCCAAGAGGTTTAACATATTTATAAAGGACAGATTGGTTCTACCACAGAAAATTCGACAGAAGACATTAAATAATATCAATTATTGCTATATGATGCAGTGGTCTTATCTGGCGAGTCTCTGATATGCTTCCATTTCTAGGTTACAAATTATAAATCAGAAAATAAAAAACAAAAAACGAAAATGTAAATGAAACGGTTACTAGCAAAAATGTCAATTGTACAACATTTGTCGGCATTTGAATAGCTTCAGAACTGGCGGAAAAAATAGCTAAATTTGCAAAACAGCAGACGTAAAGAGAAATTAAACATATTATTTAATAGTTTCTTTTTCTATAGAGCGACATGTACTACAAAAGCCTATAACGTTGATGCTTCGTTATTAATAATATTAAATAATATTTCTACTGTGTGTGCGCGCGCTCTGTTTTTGAGGCCAAACGCAAAGCAAAACGCAAAGACACCACTCCCCAACAACACCAACAGCAACAACACGTCCACTGTCTTTGTTGCTACTCTCTCACTCGCACCAGCACAGATAGCTGGCTACGTAACCAAAAAGCCCCCTCAACGACGACGTCAATGCTGTCACTGACTCTGTTGCTGTCGTCGCCGCTGCTGCCTTTGCCTTCGTTTGAGCATAAGCAATACACATAATGCGACGGCATCGGCAGAAGCAGCGACTGCGACGCAGAGGTTGGCTGACTGGCTGGCTGGCTGACTGGCTGGTAGTTTAGTTCAACGAACCCGCCATTGTCGTGACCCACTTTTCGGTCAGCTACCTCCAAATGTGGAGCTCTCGCATAACGTACAAACGTACGCGAACTCGAACCGAGCGAACAAACGAGAAACTGAGTGAGCGAACGAAACGAAACGAGTGGTGGCCAATGGCCGATGTTCGTCGTTGTTGTTCGTCGTGCATTTGGCGCTCTCAATTGCTCGGTCGTTCGTTTGTCGGTTGCATTTGCATGCGAATTCGTTGCTGCTGCACTTTGTTGTTGCTGCAGCGTTGCAAGCCTTTGGTTTGGCTTTTTAGCTTGACGGCGGCAGAGCAGAGTTCATTTGAGCTCGCGGTCGGTCAACGACACAGAAACCTCAGCCACTGAGGCATTCAACGGACATTCTCTGGGGCTTGCGGGGGCGGCATTTTGGACATGTATGAAAAAAAAACGAGCTAAGAAGTTACCTTCGTTCCCGGCCAAGCTATGAATGTGCTTACAGCAAAAATGTTACTCCTCCATGGTCATGGGTCTCGAACTATAAATCCTACCTTGTTCGTACTATCTGATCTTTGATTATCATATTTATAAGCAATATCAGGATGGGTACATTGGGAATTTCCGATCATATATATATGTACATATGTAAGTAATTATGTACCTACGTATATCATGCTTCTTTAGGCTTATTAAAAATGTACGCACCAGAAACGGCATACTTTTACACTTTTAAGTATAATAATAGTAGTGTTTAAGGAAATATTTTGAAAGGCAACAATTGTACATTCGTTGCTTATTTAGCAGATTTTTATTGAGATAGGTTCGAGAATTGGGTTGCCCTAAATTGTAGACTATGCAGCGTTTATATGTGCATAATATCCGTATTACATTCGGCTGGAAGTCATTGAACTAACTCAACTAATCACATATAGTACACGTATAATATAGAAATGTGCTTTATTATGTAATTTAATCAGAATTAATTCAACAATTTACCGCCATTGCCTGCCCCAGAGTGCCGACCGAGAGTTCAATGCACCAACGACCAACTACAATTAGTCGCCCGCCCCCTCACTCACTCGCTCGCTAACTCACTCAGCCAACACACAAACGAACTTCAAGC